TGGCCATCTGACAAACCTAAAAGGCCAGATTAGGAGCCTGGATCAAAATTTAGAGCTTCAGATCTCCCAGTCTAATCTATCGGAATTTTTTAATTGCAAATTGCATGGGCTTACCCTAGAGTCTAATGAATACTAATATAAATTCCGAACTTTAGACTCCAAATAGTTCCATGATTCTTAGACACATCTTGCAATTTGCCGCAAAGGCTTTATATATTTCAGATTTCAATAATAATGTCAAAAATATGTAGTATGAGTTTACATAGGATTTGTGCTACATTAGAACAATATACCTGAAGAGTATTGTTGAATCAGAAAGAAATGTTTGGGTTTATCTAAAGGCGGACATGATTAACAGATGCTACAAGGTTTATTTTTTTCTTTCCTATCCAGCTTCAGCTCGAGGCCACCAACAGTTTTGGGGAATCATTGCAGAAAAAACTCCTTGACATTGAAACTTTATACTCCAAGGTTCGGTCACGCTACACTTTTATTCAAGCACTGGTTAGACGGATCCGTGGTCTCTTGAGGATATCCAGGACCTGAAGACTACTGTTTGTACCTTGCTGATTTTTTTTGTACGATTGAATTTTCTAAATTATAGTCAAAATAATTTTGCTACTTTTTTCATTACAACAATGAAACAATCTTGTGTATTCTTCCTTTTCCTATATTAACCAAGGAGGAAAACAATAAAAAATAAACATGCATTTTTGTGTACAAGAACAAATGTTACTGCAGCTGTCATTTGTAAAAACCTTAATTTGACATTTACATGTGTGGGGAACAATCATAAACCAGCTGGGTGCTAAATACATTAATTGCAAATCCATCTGCAATTTATATAAATCTCAGGGGTAGCAGAAGGGAGTTTTGATGCAAGACTTTTATCTGGTTGTATTGATAAGAAAGCAACCAGTCAAGGGATTGTTAAGGAAGTTCGTAACAAGGTAGATTTTCTCCATCCAACTGTTCTTGCTTTGTATAAACAGTTGGATTTTGTGTGTGAGGTTGGGCTGGAAAATAAAGTCAACTCTCAGTTAACCGGAACTCAAGTAATGGGCAAGAATTAAAGAAATGATACTTTAAATAAAATATTTTTTTCATAATATAATAAAGCTGTTATATTAAATTGGGGCTATTTGCCTTTAATTACTGTATGTCAATATTAAATCAATACAGAGTTTTTGTTATGGTTTACTAAGGAGTATAGTATTTTTTTATAATAACTCAAGCAACCAGAAAATACATTTATCCAGTATCTAGCAATCCCCCTAGGCCTAGGTGCTGGTTATCTGATAATCTACTGTAATGGATTCTAGGTAATCCAGAATGGTCTTTAACTGTTTTAGACATTTCCTTCAGTCCAAAACCAATAAATAGTTACAATTAACCAGTTAACACAGGCATGGGCAAACTTGGGCCCTCCAGATGTTTTGGACTTCAACTCTCACAATTCCTAACAATCTCAAGCCCTTTCCCTTTAGAGGTTTTTTTTTTTTTTTTTTTTTAATACTGGTAGCCAGATTTTGTTCATTTTCATTGTTTCCTCCTTTCTGTTGAAACTGTCCACATGCTTGTGGATTTCAGTGGCTTCTTTGTGTAGTCTGACATGGTGGTCCAGCATTTCTGTGTTCTRAAATAATATGCTGTGTCCAGGTTGGTTCATCAAGTGCTCTGCTATGGCTGACTTTTCTGGCTGAATTAGTCTGCAGTGCTTTTCATGTTCCAGTATCTAAAAACTCTAAAATTAAGACAGTAAATAAAGTAAATAAACTAAAAAGGGGGAATTCCAGACAGGAAACAATCAGGGCCAGCTAACACCTAACAAAGGATTCCCTAGGCAGGAAGCAGCCAGGCTTTGAAGCTGCAAGGCCATTCAATGCTAATCAAGGCGGTCAATTGCAACATTCACATTTGCCTCAAACTGGCAAGAGTTCTTTCTCCCACCCTGGACATTCCACTGATATATAAACCTCACTTGCCTCGTTTCCGACAGACCTCACAGCCTCTGAGGATGCCTGCCATAGATGTGCGTGAAATGTCAGAAGATAATGTTTCTGGAAGATGGCCATACAGCAGGGTTTGCAGTATATTCTCAAGTCGCTTCTGACACACACACACACAAAGCCCAAAAAATTCACAACTCAAAATGTAACTGTTCAAGCAAGCATGGGTTTCAGTTGGTTGCAGCCAGTTTCCTTAACTGAGTGGGAGACATCACTTCTATGCTTCTAGGACTGTAGTTCTCAAGCTGTGGGTCCCCAGCTGTTTTGGCCCAGAAATCCCAGGCAGTTTACCAGCAGTTAGAATTTCTGGAAGTTGAAGGCCAAAACATTTGGGGACCCACAGGTTGAGAACCATTATAAAAGAGCCAGATATCCCAACACACATAGAGGGGCTGGCCACCATTCTTGAATCTACATAAATAAAAATGTAATGTTCGTTTGTGGGATTAACATAATTAAAAACCACTGGATGAATTGACACCAAATTTGGACACAATACACCTCTCAGGCCAAGAAGTGATCATCACTCATAAAAACACTGAAAAACGCAGCAGAAGAGACTTAAAAGGCCAAAAAAATTAAACAATACATTACAATGCATGCGCAAAACCACATATACACGCAAAAACACACATACACACATAGACACAAATATGTAATATAGGTAAATGTTTTCCCCTGACATTAAGTCCAGTCGTGTCCAACTCTGGCAGTTGGTACTCATTTCCATACAACAAAAACAAAACTTTATATACCGCTCTATCTCCCCAAGGGGACTCAGAGCGGTTTCCAAGTAACATAATCAATACATAGGAGAAAAAGGGCATAAACATAAAATTAAAAATTAAAATAAAATTAAAATTAAAAAGACAATATATGCATTAAAATCACAATAGCACACAGCACATATATCGATCAAGGCAGTTTAAAAGGCTGGGCCGGGCTACTATTTCCATATGTGTATATACATATATTTGTTGTTCATTTGTTCCGTCGTCTCTGACTCTTCATGACCTCATTGACCAGCCCACGCCAGAGCTCCCTGTCGGCCGTCACCACCCCCAGCTCCTTCAAGGTCAGTCCAGTCACTTCAAGGATGCCATCCATCCATCTTGCCCTTGGTCGGCCCCTCTTCCTTTTTCCTTCTACTTTCCCCAGCATAATTGTCTTCTCTAGGCTTTGCTGTCTCCTCATGATGTGGCCAAAGTACTTCAACTTTGTCTCTAGTATCCTTCCCTCCAGTGAGCAGCCGGGCTTTATTTCCTGAAGTATGGACTGGTTGGATCTTCTCGCAGTCCAAGGCACTCTCAGAACTTTCCTCCAACTTTACAGTTCAAAAGCATTGATCTTCCTTTGCTCAGCCTTCCCTAAGGTCCAGCTCTCACATCCGTAGGTTACTACAGGGAATACTATGGCTTTGACTATGCTGATCTTTGTTGTTCTTCACTATTTTATCAAGATTGGACATTGCTCTCCTCCCAAGAAGTAAGCATCTCCTGATTTCCTGACCGCAGTCTGCGTCTGCAGTACTCTTTGCACCTAGAAATACAAAGTCTGTCATGGCCTCCACGTTTTCTCCTTCTATTTCCCAGTTGTCAATCATTCTTGTTGCCATAATCATGTTTTTTTTTAAATGTTTAGCTGCAACCCAGCTTTTGCACTTTCTTCTTTCACCTTGATTAGAGGGCTCCTCAGCTCCTCCTCGTTTTCGGCCATCAAAGTGGTGTCATCTGCATATCTAAGGTTGTTAATGTTTCTTCCGGCCATTTTTACCCCAGCCTTGCATTCATCAAGCCCCGCACCTCGCACGATGTGTTCTGCATACAAGTTGAATAGGTTGAGTGAGAGTATACAACCCTGCCCTACACTTTTCCTAATCTTGAACCAGTCTGTTGTTCCATGATCAGTTCTGACCGTTGCTACTTGGTCATTATACAGATTCTTCAGGAGAGAAACAAGGTGATTTGGTATGCCCATACCACCAAGAACCTGCCACAGTTTATTATGATCCACACAGTCAAAGGCTTTAGAATAGTCAATGAAGCAGAAGTAGATGTTTTTCTGAAACTCCCTGCCTTTCTCCATTATCCACCGGATATTGGCAATTGGTCTCTTGTTCCTCTGCCTTTTCTAAACCCAGCTTGTACATCTGGCAACTCTCTCTCCATGTATTGCTGGAGTCTTCCTTGCAGGATCTTGAGGATTACCTTACTGGCAAGAGAAATAAGGGTACGGAAGTTTGAGCAGTCTTTCGCATTTCCCTTTTTTGGTATGGGGATATAAGTTGATTTTTTCCAGTCTGATGGCCATTCTTGTGTTTTCCATATTTGCTGGCATATGGCATGCATCACCTTGACAGCATCATCTTTTAAGATTTTAAACAGTTCAGCTGGGATCCCGTCGTCTCCTGCTGCCTTGTTGTTAGCAATGCTTCTTAAGGCCCATTCCACCTCACTCCACAGGATGTCTGGTTCTAATTCACTCATCACATCGTCAAAACTATCCTGGATATTATTATCCTTCCTATATAATATAGGTAAAGGTAAAGGTTTTCCCCTGACATTAAGTCCAGTCGTGTCCGACTCTGAGGGATGGTACTCATTTCCATATGTGTATATACACAAGTACACACACACACACACATATACTTACCTATACACACACAAAACACATATACACAGACTGAGCCACAGCAACGCGTGGCAGGGGACGGCTAGTTTCTGCATACGGATGCAGCAAGCCCCGCCTCTTGTGTTGACGTCAGCGCAAACTCCCGCCCGCTTGCTCAATTTCCATAGAGAGGAAACAGAAAGTTTATATTTTCGAAGTGGCAGATTCGCGACGTTCAACAAATTCTATTTATTTTAAAAAATAAATTACACGCTGCTTTTTCTTTTCTTTTTTAATTTTGCAATGGCTGCAGGACAGATTGATTTTGTTTCCTTTCGAGGAGGGCACTCCTCAAATTCGTGTGGAAAGCGCTAACGAGAACACCCCGCCCGCTCTGTTGCTCTCCCGTATCAGCGACGCCTCTGAGTGGAGCGGTCGACGTGGAAGTGGCTCCGCTGAGACTTCCGGGTGAACGGCGGCGGCGGCTGAGGAGGAGGCGGTGGTGGAGGCGGCGGCCTGCGGGGTTTCTCTGAGGGAGAAGCGGAGCGGGAGGACTCCTCAGCCATGGGTAAGGCGCGGAAGGGGAAGGACGGAGAGGGAAAGGAGGCCGAAGGGGCCAGCGGGCGTGGGCGGTTGAACAGATGATCAGGAAGTAACTGTTAACACAGGCCTGGGCCAACTTGGGCCCTCCAGGTGCTTTGGACTCCAACTCCCACCATTCCTAACAGCCTCAGGCCCCTTCCTTTTCCCCCTCAGCCGCTTAGCGGCTGAGGGGGAAAAGGAAGGGGCCTGAGGCTGTTAGGAATGGTGGGAGTTGGAGTCCAAAGCACCTGGAGGGCCCAAGTTGGCCCAGGCCTGTGTTAACAAGTACAGTATCTCAATCACATTATGTAGACACATTTCCGATCTTGTGAAAGTGCCACAAGCCAAAATAAAGGACTTCTGGTGGTATTTGGATGGTTTTATGTCGCACATGTCAAACTCCAGCTCTCCATGTCATTTCATGTGTCCCACCAGATGCTGGACTACAACCCCTGTATTCCTCATCACTAGACATATGAGTAAAGCGGATGGGAGTTGTGATACAGTAACATCTGGAAGGCTGCAGCGTGCTCTATTGAATCAAGATTGAATTAAGATACCAGGCTTGTGGGTGTGATGTCTGGCTTTAAAATGTCCTTCCACCTTTCCCCAACCTCAGAGTCACAAGGGCTTTTGAAGGGAAATGTTGACTCTAAGCTAAAAGGTGTCCAGAGGAGGGCAACTAAAATGATCAAGGGCCCAGAGAACAAGTCCTATGAGGAACTGCTTAAAGAACTGGGCATGTTTAGCCTGCAGAAGAGAACGCTGAGAGATACAATAGCCATGTCAGAAGAAGAGAAGAGAAGGCTGAGAGGGGATATGATAGCCATGTATAAATATGTCAGAGAAAGCCACAGGGAGGAGGGAGCAAGCTTGTTTTCTGCTTCGCTGGAGACTAGGACACAGAACAATGGCTTCAAACTACAAGAGAGGAGATTCCATCTGAACATGGGGAAGAACTTCCTGACTGAGAGCCGTTCAGCAGTGGAACACTCTGCCCCGGAGTGTGGTGGAGGCTCCTTCTTTGGAAGCTTTTAAACAGAGGCTGGATGGCCATCTGTCAGGGGTGATTTGAATGCAATATTCCTGCTTCTTGGCAGGGGGTTGGACTGGATGGCCCATGAAGTCTCTTCCAACTCTTTGATTCTATGATTCTATGTATAACTATGTGTGGGAGGTCATAGGGAGGAGGAAGCATGCTTGTTTTTTGCTGCCCTGGAGACTACGACATGAAACAATGGCTTCAAACTACAGGAAATTAGATTCCACCTGAACTTCTTTGCTGTTCAGCAGTGGAACTCTCTGCCCCAGAGTGTCGTGGAGGCTCTTTCTTTGGAGGGTTTTAAATAGAGGCTGGATGGCCATCTGTCAGGGATGCTTTGAATGCGATTTTCCTGCTTTATGGCAGGGGATTGAAGTGGATGGCCCATGAGGTCTCTTCCAACTTCATGATTCTAAGGGCTGTTGGGTTGCAATTCCTGTTATTCCCAGTCTGCATGGCAGATAATCAATAGTGATGGGAGTTGTTGTTCAATAACATATAGGGACCCAAATTGGCTAAAAACCAAAGAGCACTGACCACTATTTAAAAAAAACTAGGCCTTCTCCACTGATTTTCCATTATGGATTCAGTGGCCCTTTGAAGGCAGATAAAAGGCGCATGTGGCCCTCAGTACAAATAAACTCGGTGCTCTGGTTTCCGTAAAAGGAAATGCTCTTCTTTTATAATAAGGTTCACCTTCCAGCCCTAGGAGGAACAGGCTTTTGGAGTCTCAAATAAGGCAACGCATGGAAAACCTGGTTTGAAGAACATCACAGGGAGGAATGACAGTTCCCCACACTATGTGCTAGGGACAGTTCCCCACACTATGTATTTACTGCCTATTCACTACAACTGTTTTGGTCTTTCGTGGAAATTCTCAGTGCCTTCCAGACAGGCACTATATCCCAGGATCTGATCCCAGATTTTGAGTTTTGAACTGGATTGTATGAATCCACACTGCCAAATAATCTGGGATAAACAGAAAACCTGGAATCACATCCTGGGATACAGGGTCTGTCTGGAAGGGCTCTCAGTGGGTGAGTCTATAGAGAGTCTTTAGATCACTGAAGTTGTGTTAATTCTGCCCAGAAGCAATCTTCTTGATGGACGATTGTAAAATCTCAGCTGGTGTTGAACAAAAGTACAGTGAGACAGTGGGTTTTGGAGTTCAGCAGCATCTGAAGGACTGGCTGCCCTTTAGTGGTGTAAGACAGTGACCTAATGTTCCCATGCATCTTTGTGAAGAAATTTTGTGGCTTTCCAAGTGTTCATGAACTTCTAACAGTTGTGATTGGTCATACTGGCGGCGCAGATGGGAACTTGTGTTAAAGCAACATCAAGGGCCCCAGATTATCCATCCCAAGAGGGCATGTAACAGAAACATCACTGATTGTAAAAGCTATAACAAAGTCATGTTTTTAAAACTGCATATGGACATTGTTGGTAAAGACCTACGTGTAATGTTACCTAACAGAAGTATTAATATGTTTACTTTGTGAAATATTTAGTGCCCACTGAAATTAGAGTGGTTTGATTCAGAAATCCTAGCTATTAAATTATGTTTTGTTATTTACTGTTATTAAAAGTATGCATTTATGCAACAATAGCCAGCCCAGGCTTATATACTATAGTTTAGATTTCTAGTTAAGACCAAGGGTATTTATGAAGTGAAAGGCTAATTAAGAAATGGCAAGACATGTATTCATGTTTGTCTTAAAATTTTACATTTGGTTTGAGCTGTTTGGCCTCATTGACATACCTTTCTGTGCTATCCTTTGAATATGGCTTGGATGTAGGCTATTTGAATGACTATATGTCCCTTTATGAGTCCATTACAGCTCTTAAGATCCCCCGGAGAAGTCCTTCAGTGTGCTAAATACACTCTGTCATCTGACCCACATTTTCACCCACCTTTTCAGTTTGGTAGCTGCAAGTGGGAGGCAATGAGGCTTGTGTGCTTTCCCTCACATGAGTAGTAGTTTAGCATTGTGTCTTGGCTGTGGTTTGTTGGGGGGAAAAGCTTATAGTCATAACTCTTGGGTTGTTTCCATCTATCATTAACATCTACAGTTTTTCTGACTGAAATAAGTGTTTAGCTAAAGAATGGCAAAATGTTCCATGATAATGGCTGTACTGAAAGGAGGAGTGTCTGACCCCAGCACTTGCTGTGTATTCTTCTGAGAAACCATGATTTATTGTAGTCGCTAAAACAGCTTGTTCTTTATTAGTGTCAGGAAAGAGTGAGAAGCCTTACTGTTCAGAGAACAGAAAGCTTATCGAACGGAATAGAAATATAATAGTCATGTCCACATATTACCATTACTTATGGAACCAAAACAGGGCTACTGAGAAACCAAGAAACTGGTAAACCAAGAAACTTCTGAAATGTGTTAAGCCATTTAAAAACTTTAAAAAGAAGAAAATCTCTAAAAGCTATGAAAGTGAGCTTGCTTAATACAGAGAGGACATCCCTCCTGTTGCATCAGCTCTACTGGCTGCCAGTCTGCTACCGAGCACAATTCAAAGTGCTGGCTTTAGCCTATAAAACCCTAAATGGTTTCAGCCCAGCTTATCTGTCCAAACATATCTCTCTATGATCATCAGGGGAGGCCCTGCTCTCAGTCCCACCTCCTTTGCAAGCGCGGCTGGTGGGGATGAGAAACAAGGCTTTCTCAGTGGTGGCCCCTTGTCTATGGAACTCCCTGGCCAGTGAAATTAGATCGGCTCCCTCCCTTCTGGCCTTCAGAAAAAAACCTAAATGAGATTGGCTCTAGGATCAGGCTTTTGGTCAATAATGAGAGCAAGGCAATAAGAGATTATAAATTAATTTAACGGCAACCCAGACTGGCCCTGGAGTATGACCTGGATTATGTGAATTTAATTGTTGTTTTAATGTTATGTTTTAATTGGTTGGTTTTAATGTTTTTGTTTATTACTCAATGTATGTATACATGCATCATTGAATTGTTGCCTTTGTAAGGCTGCCTTGAGTTCTCTTCGGGGTTGAGAAAGGCAGGATACAAGTATGGTAAATAAAATCAACCAATCAATAATACCAGAAGATTGAATTCAATTGGAAAAGAAAAACAAAATGTGATGTGGGAAAGGACTAGTTGAAGGTGTGGCAGATCAGAACTACATTGCAACATGTTCCTGCAGGTATACTTGTGTGCTTCTCATGAAACATTCAGCATTTGGAACTTGCTGTAAGATACTGTTCTCTTCAAATAAGACACTTGCTGTCTTGTTTCTGCATTGGCAAAAGTGTATACATACCATCTTGGAAGCATTTATACTGCCAAAGAAAGAATGCTGTTGATCATTGTTAACTAGTGTGAAGACTATAGTTTTCAAAGTGGTTATTTTTCTTTGTAGGTGGCTTCTTTTCAACCATCTTCTCCAGTTTATTTGGTACACGGGAGATGAGAATTTTGATTTTGGGATTAGATGGAGCAGGAAAAACAACCATTCTCTATAGATTACAAGTTGGTGAAGTTGTGACTACTATTCCTAGTAAGTGCCTGAAACACATGTAATGCAGTACTTTATTCATTATTATTAAATGATGTTTGCATGTGACAAGCTTAAATTACTACTGAAATTAAGTTGAAATTTGAAATTAAAACCTTGGATCGTTGTATTTTCTTCTAAACGTAATCAAAACAGCAATGATCAGTGAAATATTCTAAATGTTTACTGATATGAGGTACACTTTATAAATGCCTTTACAATTTGAGAATATATTGTAGATCTCGGAAACATTCGGTAGCACTCAAAACTTTGGGCTGGACAGAGACACTCACTAGTTTCTGCCCCTAATAGGAAAACACAATTTTTGCAATATTGGTTCTTGTCCATAGCCTTTTCTCACTTCTTAACTTGGCTTTTTATAAAACTAGTTTATTCTTTTGAACCTGAGTAATGGGTTGGACTTTCCAAGTGTGGAATATATTACTTTGCCAGGAGATAGGAAATAAACTGCATCATTTTATATTTGATTCGGATTAAAACAAACAATATTCTGTTTTTTCAAGTTTTTAATATAGTTTGATAATTTTGTTTTTCTCTTCTAGCAATTGGTTTCAATGTTGAGACAGTGACCTACAAGAATCTAAAGTTTCAAGTCTGGGACTTGGGAGGCCAGACAAGCATCAGGTATAGCATATCTGGTAACATCTGACAGGATTAAAAGACGGGGCATGATTTCTAAAGTATTTTGTTGCATTCTTGGGGTTCTCTAAATAGACACAAAAAAGCATTTTTGGTTTCATTGTTTATAAAAATATAAGAGATTAGAAACACTGGACATGCTGTCTATGTACTAATAAGCAAAATATCAAAAGGTTGCCAAAATATTTGGTTTAATTTGAAAAATACATGTATTTGAGTTATAACTTGTTTACATTTATTATGGACAGTGTCTGTTCATTTATCTATGAGTCTGAAAGACCATGACTTTGTTGCCCGGCTGAGATTTATTTTCATTCTGGCTGTAACATTCCCTAGTAATAAAAGTAAATTATATTTTTAAGTGCTATCGGTTTAGTTTGGTGTAATAGCTACTTTTCTTGATGGCAGGCATTTTTACCTATATAATGATGTTTATATTCCAGGCCATATTGGAGATGTTACTATTCTAACACAGATGCAGTCATCTATGTGGTGGACAGCTGTGACAGAGACAGAATTGGAATTTCAAAGTCTGAGCTCGTTGCCATGTTGGAGGTATGAAATGTGAGGCCTACATATATGATAGTTCTAGTTGCAGGACAGGAACTGGATTTCCAGCTTGCAGTCTTACATGCATTCTTGGGGGTAGCTGTTCATTTTGGCAGAAACAATGAAATCCAAGTTAATTACGTAATCAGATTGTGGTCATTGCCTTTAAAATTAGTAAAACAGTTATGAAGTGGACCAAACTTATTATTAATCCAATACTCATTTTACAATTATATAGAATCATAGTGTTGGAAGAGATCATACAGACCATTCAGTCCAACCCCCTACAAAAGCAGGAAAAGCACAATCAAAGCACCCCTGACAGATGGCCGTCCAGCCTCCTTTAAATCTTTAGCACTGAAAATGAATTGATTTTGTTACTTCCTTTCTGTGTATAATTTCAGTCCAGTATTTAAAGTGAAATTTGTGTGCTTTCTTGGGAGCTTAGGACCTGGCATAAGCACACACCTTCAAACTGAAAAAGAATTCTCCAAATCACACCTGTAGTATTTTTATATACTTTTCATGACGAAGTGAAATTTGATAATGAAAAGTGGAATGATTTGTATAATTTCCTTCCATATTTAGGAAGAAGAACTAAAGAAAGCGATTTTAGTGGTGTTTGCAAACAAGCAAGATATGGAACAGGCTATGACTCCAACAGAAATGGCAAATGCACTTGGACTTCCTGCACTCAAGGATCGGAAATGGCAGATATTCAAAACATCTGCAACTAAAGGCACTGGACTCGATGAGGCAATGGAATGGTAAGTACCACTGTACTTAAATATTTAAAGTTTGTGTATAGAAGCACAGATTAAAGATGAGCATGCTGTTGCAAGCAAGGATTTATTACTGCTGTGTAAAAACAATAAATCCATTTTTTTTCTAGGTTGGTGGAGACCTTGAAGAGCAGACAGTGAAATGGACAAACTTTTCCTTCCATAGTAAGAGTGAATGCAATGCTGTAAATAGGACTGACAGAATATTTACCTTTTGAAAGAGATGAGGGTTGCTGTGAATTGTAAATCACACTGAATCAATTGAATGTCTGTATACTATGTTTGCTCCACTTCTTTTAACTTGTGTAAGTTATATATGTAACATCAATTTTTATGACAGTTATATAATCCAAAAATAGAACATGAAAAATATCTGGGGGGGGGGAACTTTGTTACTGAGAATTGAGTGTTTGAAACTATTTAACACTAATAAATATTTAATGACCTTATGTTTGTCTGTTTAATGCCAGTCCTCTTCGATTTGTCCATGTTTGCAGTTGATAGCTTTGTTATTTTGGGTGACATTGTTTGAATTGTCAAAACTGCTACAAGATAATGCCCTAAAACAGGCGGGGAACCATTTTTGTCCTCCTTTGGATTTCCATCAACAATATCTTCCAGTAGGTAAATTGAATGCACAGACATCTCTGGGGGGAGATTATGTTAACCAAGAGGCTCTTCACTCAAGAGCTGCAAGAGCAGAAGCTGTTCTGTGGTGTAAAGCGTGCTATCAAAGGGGGCCAGAAATTCAGGCAACATTGATTTTACTTCCAGGCTACATGAAAATCTAGCATTCCCAGCTTTTGGGGGTTGGGAAGAGCGGTGCCAAAAATATAAGAAGTAAACTGGAATCTCCTGAACTAAACAACAGAGGCAACATGTAATTGGTATCTAAATCTGTGAGACCCACATATAATACACAGATCTAGCATTAACCACACAGTGAACATTATGGTGCCTTAAGCAAATTTAATTAGAAAAAGGCATTTTGAATCACTGTACAATAAATGTCAGGCTTATGAAAATAGTAGTAAAAAAAGGTCACTGCTAATGACACTCACTCACTGAAATGATACAACACCATAGCATTTTTTCCAGGAACATATCAACTGAACAAAATCTGTAGCAATTAAAATTTCAATAAATAATCAGTTAATAATTATTTCATATTTTATGCCAATACAAGATATCTCCTTTTTGCAATAGTTTTGAATCTCAAAAGAGCATGAAGTTCTGTGCATCTTGAGTGATGCTAACTTATGTTGCAGAAACTTGACTGAAATATCTCCTAGCTAGAACAATGTGGGCAAAATGTCTTACTGAAGTTCTTGCATGGTCAAAATACTCAGAAGTTTCCCACTGCAGTGTTCTGTCTAGAATAGCAGCCATGAATTGAATACATATTGTGAATTGTATTTCACTCCACCATTGCAAGGTCTTTTAATGCATGACTCCTTTGTTTTTTGGCTTTGTAACCAGGCCTCAGAAATTCTATTTTTCTTTTCTTTGCCTCAAGTTTATTCTTATGTCTTTTTAATTTCTTCTTGGCAGCAACATCAGGATTAGCAACAGCCTAAACAGAAAACAAGACACATTTCTTACTCTTCTGCTATATATGTTGAACTTTCTTAGTTTAAATACAAGTTCTCATGTTAAGTGAGCCTCTATTTCAAGGCACACATGAAATAAATACTGACCTGCAGTGCTCTCTGTTTCTTTCTGATGGCTCTCTTCTGACTAGCTTGTTTTTGAACGGAGGCAAAAGAAATTGAAAAGGTCTCAAGCCCAACCATTTTTTTCAGCAGCTCTATAATTTCCTGGGCAAGATTCTTCAGTGTTGGATCTAGCACAATGACAGGACACATGATTATACAATGACGGCTCACAGATGAATTCAGATTAACATTGTAATTCAGAAACTGGAAAAATAATTGCACATCCAAAACTGAAGTTCAGCTAGAAGCCTGTGGCTGAGGTCCAGCATTGAGAGAAATAGCTATGATGTCATCTCCCTAGACTACTTCTCCCTGTAAATCCTACTTTTAAGCTATACAGTTCTCCCCCAAAATAGGAATTTCTGAAGTGCTGAAGAATGGGACAGTGAGTAATGATGCATCCATAATCTCGGTAGCAGGGGACACTGAGCCCTTTCAGAGTTATCACATTGCTCCCTATACCGGGAGACAGCTGGAAATATTGCTCATGACCCCACTTTCTAAAGTGTCAGAAAATATTTTGGTGGGAGTTTTGTGGGGAGCACATTAGATTGCTGCAGTGATGATGATGGTAATAATAATTTATTTATTTATTTATTTATTTATTTGGCCAGTCATATGACCATTTCAAAATACAACACGAGTAAAAGACAAGGCAAAAAGGAGAGGACAGCAGCTGACCTATTTACAGTCAGAATCTTATTTTTCTGATTCTTCTTTCAGGAAATGTGCTCTTTTCTTTATAGCTTTCAGAATAAAAAGACAGTGGACCAACAATCATAAACATGAATGTGTGTAACCACAATGTCAAGTCTAGCTTTAACATTGTATGTACTGACCAGAATGCAAACTACTATTTCTCTTGGATTTAAATTTAAATTTTGCTTGGTTAGAACGCCATTTGAATGATCGGTTAAAGTACTTCAGAGACATCCCTAAAGCAAAACATCCCTAAACCAACCCATACAGGCCAGTGCAAGTAGTTATTTAGCTAGTATGATGGTGTAATCCAAATTAACAGGACCTTTCTGTACCATATGAAGTGGGCATGCTTCAGGCCAGACATTAGTAAAATCTCTCACCTTGATCTGCGTAGGTACTGCTGAGTTCTCTGTATAGAGGGCCAATGATTGTTGACAAGTATGGTTTGACCCTATCCTGCCCAAGGTCTACTGCAATGGCACCAAGGAATTTAAAGATGCAACTTCTCTGAAAAACAAACATAGCTGGTCAAAAGACTCATTTTGAAAGAAAAACAAAACATCTTTTTGGCTGTTTAGTAGTAGGAAGAATTCTCTAGTTCTGGTTCAGGAAAACAAAAAACATAATTGTCCACCAACTCTTAAAAATAACTTGGTCCTTCAAAACTTAATTTGAAATTAAATAACATGCAAACCTTTAAGGGGTCCTTGGGTGAATATGCAGCTTCTCGTGATGCCATTATGAAAAGTTTCTTCATCAGCCACAACAAAGTGGCTGGGCTCTTTTTCTCTTCAGCTTCTTTTGTATCAGTACCCAAAGTCTCATTCTCATCTTCACCTTCCAAGTCTTCTTGATCCTCAGTTCCTTCGCTGATCTCTTTGCCATCTTCTGGAGCAGGAACCAGAAGATACAGTACTTTGGCTATAAACAGTAAATTCTTTATAATCTGAAATGTAAAAGAAAAATAAGAGCCATCTGAATGCTTTCTAGAATACTGTACGAACCAAAGCTTTAGGCCAATTCTATACAATCCATGATCTGAAAATGAAGGACCCAAACCATGCACTGCAGACAACTTACTGAATGAAATCTTTTGTTTTGTCGCGTCTAATGTTGGCAACAAAATCAAAGTGTCCTTTGAGCACAGTGCTGGACCCTAATGTAGGAGTGATCTGTCACTGAAGGCTCCAAGCCTTAAATTTTATGATGTCTTCCCTAAGTTATAGCTATATTAATAATACTATGACGGAATCTTTATCCTCTCCAGATGGAGGTCCAAATGCTTTCATTTTGATTCCCAGGAATTCCGCACAACTGTTTGGGGTGCAGTATCATATTTTGGGTTTGGTCTGTTACATTTTGCAAAATCATTTTGAGAGTTGTTTCAGTAATTTTACATGTATTTATTTCCAAGAAGGCTGAGAATTATGTGGACTTCTAGATATGGCTGGATTACAACTTAAATCATTTCTAGTCACTGGCTATGATGGTTGGGGCTGCTAGGAACTGCAGCCCAATTATGATCTAGAGAGCCACATGATTCTGACCCCTGACTGATAGTGGGCACCAGCTGCCTCTCAACCCCAGTGCTGTGTAACCTCAGCTGCTTCTACTGACATGACTGGGCAAGCTCTCCTTCACCTGACAAACATTAGGGTAATGTTATATTTCATCTATCAAGAATATTCAGCAAAAATCCATAACATTCAGCGAAAATCCATCAACAACACTGGGGGGAAAGAATTTCGTATTTTAACCAACCTGGCTGAGATCAAGAATTACTGTTATATAGGTTCTATGGAAAGGTGTAACACATGGAAACAAAAAAATTAACATTATAGACCTCTAGAATGTTCTGTGCCCCTACATATTCTACTTATAATCATAACTGGCAATCCAGCTAGAAAACAAATTATGAAAGATGTGTCGTACCATTCCAGTATAACTACTCTTATAGACAAAGTGGTTTACTTCAAGCTACTAGTTGACCAGCTCAGGGTGTCTTTTAGAATACAATTAAAAGATGTATATATTAGTTTATTACACATTTTTGATGTTTGATTCTTTGTTTAAGACGCACACATCATCTAGCTGTTTAGCTATATTTTCTTTCAACATATACATTTCAAAATATAAGTCTTCAAAAATACATAGTGCTTTACCTGTTCTCCGAGATCTGGATCCAGAAATTTGGACTTCAGCTGATGGCAGAAAGCTAAAGCAAGTGTTTTCATCTGTTAAGTTAAAAAGTTATGGTTATTTTTACAAAAGATGCTGCAACATAAAATATATTGTTGAATTTACTTCATTAACTTTTTATCTAAGATGACTTGATTTTGCCCTCCAAAAGCAGCCTAAAACTTAAAACTCAACGAAGGCATAAACTATTGAAAGCCAGCATTGTGTAACTGCCTGAGTGTTGGACTAGGACTCTGGGAGACCAGGGTTCAAACTTTTACTTAGCCATGGAAACTCACTGAGTGATTCTGGACAAGTCACATGCTCTCAGCCTCAGAGGAAGGCAATGGCAAATCCTTGTGAATAAATCTTCCCAAGAAAACCCTGGGAACCTATGTCTGAAATCATGAGATGATACTGAACCCCTACCTAATAGTATCAAAAGTCATAGTAATTTTGTTTCTGTCTCCTACTAGGGAAATGGAAAGGTGCAGCTAAAAAAAGGAAGCTTAGAACATCAATGCTAACCTTTTTGTCTAATTCTTCTATTAAGAAGGTAGTTGCAGATGGATCTGTTGTAGTTACTTGGCCTTTTTCCAGTTTTCGCTTATTCCACTTATTAACAAGTTCCTCGGGCTTATAAGAAGCAAACAATAAGCCAAAGATCTGAGCAGAAGTCAGCCAAACCCAGCTGTGTGGATACCATAAATGGGATTGAATATGCCCTTCAGAAAAAGAAGAATTAAGGCTTCAATTGACTTCATTCATATTCAGAAGAGAAAAGGC